CCGCTCCTCACATTGCGTATCGCGTTACGTAAGACGCAAAACAAGACGCGCGGTCGGATCTGCGCACCTTGCGACAACCGGGCGTTCCAAAACGGTGCGTTTTTAGCTTGCACTTTCCGGTACTTTCTACGACGCCGTCGTGTCGCGACACGCGGTTCCGGTGTCTCCCGTGACACCACGTGTCCTAGAAGAAGCTTCGCCTCCGCCCTCCTTTGACAGATCGTTCGACGGGGGGTTCGGGAGAAGGTAAATTCTGCCGTTGCGCCAGGTTTAGTTTTTCACCGAACGTAATTTATCGGCCAAGAGAAGTCTCTCACGGGGTCGTACACGCTATTAACCTCTGAATATCGATTCCATTTCGTCGGGATTGTCCAACCTAATTGCCGGGATCTCTATCTAGTTTGATTCCTCGGCGAATAATCGCGTACAATAATAATAATAATAATTGCGATCGACTGCGGACGTTGCACCGTGTCCACCGTTGCCCTGCATAATGCAAACTGATAAAACTGCAACGTCCACAATTGCACTCCGTCGCGACGTCGCCGACACTTGGACGCGAATATAATGCGACGCATACGCCACTTTTTTTCTATGGACGATAAGAACCCGACGCTATCGGCGCGTTACGTTTGCGTTTATCGGCGCAGAAACTTCGAACGACTATCGAATGACTCACACAGCCGCGTTTTGCTACGCGGTCTTCGCCGCCAGGGCGAAACGACCGCGAGCAATTTTTCGAATTTTCCGATCGACGGAGCGCGTTCCCATTCGCGACCAGAGAGAGCCGACGGTTGCTCGATCGTTCGCTCGCGAATTAAGGTAGCTGCTACGTGAATCTATTCTTTCTTAGGGATCTTTCCGAATTTTAACGGCATATTGATCGAGACACGATTTACACACGTGTAATCCCGCGGAAAAATGTTTATATATATATATATATATATATATATAAAATTATTTATAATTATAAGTGATCTATACATGAATTTTGCCTTTACATGGCTACATACATAATTATATAAAATTATATATGATTATTATATATGATTAAAGACAAGTATGTGATTATTAAAGACAAAATTCATATATAATTACTTTTCCCCGGGAAATTAATAATAATTAATTAATTAATGAAATATTGGCTGTACTGATGATGAGATAATTGAAGTTGGAATTAGCACACTGATAAAAAAGAATAGTTCAAATAAATATTTGCCGAGGAATGCTGAAGTAATTATTTTACTTGGACTTTTTTTCTTCAATGTGCTACATTCAAGTATTATTTACTTCATTCCAAGCAAAATAATTTCTTCAATACTTCTTAGCAAATATTCACTTGAATGCGGCACTTTTCCTTTCAGTGAGCTGTTTACACACATCGCAGGTACAAAAATGGCTACCGATATCATGTTTATCATTCCAACAATCAAACTACTCTCACCGTTTTAATGAAAAAAAAAAAAAAAAAGCGAAGAGACGATATAAAAGAAAGAAATAAATAATATTTATAAAACATCATGTTTATAAAACATTCATGACACAGATTTCTCGTGCTCCTTCGTGTTGCGTCAATCTTACTGACATTACCTTTCCAACAATACCGTCACGGACCAACCACCTTAAACATGCATACGAAGACGAACGTGATCGCGTGGTTTGTTTATCGAACGCGCATAAATTTCCCTTGACGGCGGCGCGGGACGGGAGAAGCGGGACATGCATTGTTTCGCGTTTTATGACCGTGAATTAGCCTTATCGCGTATTGGCAAATTGTGCGGACCGAGAGGTGTCTTATCTGCGCGTGCACGCTCCGATTGCGTCGACGTGCCCGCGATTGAGCAATGTATCGCTCGCCCGTATCGAGCCGAATATATTTTTCTTTTCCTGTCCACAACCCGCATATAGAAAATACCTTGGGGTCTAACTGGGCAACCCAGTCCAGTTTCCCAAAATAATAACGGGCTCCAGAGATGAGAGATCTACGCAAATTCTGGAGTTAAAAGTACAGCTGTTCCGAAAATACGATTTCTAAGTGGGAAACACGAGCAGACCCTATTTTTTCCGCTTTCCACTCTACATTCTACGATTCTATGCAGAATATTCCCCGTCTCGCGCAACGGCGCTGCGGCTTCGGTCGCGGCGGAAAGTGAAATACGCAAAACGCACTGGATGAAATTACGCTTAATCACGCGTTTCTCTCTCACACTCTCTTTCTCTCTCCAGCACGCCTACGATCAACGGACGCAGTTCTCTCGAGCGTCCTCCCGCGCGCGATTTATTTCGGTTTCACCGCTCGAAACGCCGTTCCGTATCGACCGTCCGTGATGAACAACGCCGCTGCCGTTTCGCCGATATCTCCGCGCGAGCGATGTTTATTCATTTCCGCTAATATTTTTATCGCCCAGATTCCGAACGATAAAAATATTAGTCCCCGTGGTTTTTTTTTTGTTTTTCGATCGAGTTCATCGAGCGCAAACTCGAGCGTGCACGCATCCACGCACACGCGCGATGCGCGTTCGTTCTCTCGGCGACGCGCAACTATTACCCGCAAATATTTGACGTCGCCGCCGTTCGCGCACTCTCTTCCCCCTCCGGGGCATATTTTTTTTTGTTTCATCTCGCCGCCCCCTTCCCCACGACGGCCCGCGCACCGAGCAATTTCGCAAATTTATTTTTGTCGCGAACGAGCCCGGCCGCGCGTGCGAACGCGGGCGAGCAAGCGTGCGCGCACTTCAACGCACGTCCGTGAGTTTCTCGATGGACGCGAGAGGCCTCCCCCTCGTCGAATCCGCGCACAAAATTGCAATATCTCGCGGGGAGGAAACCAGTTGATGCGTCGGCTCGTTATACGCTCGGTGTTTGCGAGAAAAATAAATAACTGGCCCAACAACGAGTCCGTTCGCGCGAATATCGAGTGCGCGTCTCCGCGGGGCGTCGTCCGTCGTCGCCGTCGGTGATGCGCCGGCCGAAATCACGCGGGATAAATGTGCGCGAAACCATCACGCACGCTCGCGTATCATAGCGGAAATATTATTCTATTTGTTTTGCGGTTTACGCGCCGCGTAACGCTCGCTCGCGGAATTTTGCGAACCCCGTTTATTGCGCCCCCTCCCCCGCCCCCGAGGGTGAGTTGCCGGGCAGAAAATTACAAACAAAAATTACGCGGCTCGTTTCGCGCGATTCGCAAGCGATTCTGCATCGGGAGCACCGTTTCACCGCTCGCCTTTTTGGACGCGATACGCCCGCTATAGCGACTTCCCTCGAAGCGGAATTTAAATTCTGATCGATATTTATAGATATTTCTCTTTCCCTCTTCACCGTTTCTCTTTCACTCACTCGCAGAGGAAAAATCTGCTTCCCGTTAGAACACAAAAATAATAATAAAAATATATTTCTGCTACGCGGGACGCGTAACAGCGATTTTCAGTGAATCTTTCACTGGCCGAAATCAATGAAGTATCGAACGAAGGAGCTAAGTGGAAGTGGAGCGCCAAGGAAGAATGAGAGAATATTCACTGATTATCGGTGGGGAATGCCGTTTTACCGATTCAACTTGAGAGAATACGCGCGCGGAAGACACGGCGGCGCGGTATCGTCGAGCGCGATGCACACGAGTGCGCGCGATGATGGACGGCGCAATGCGCGGTCCTTCATTTGCGTCGGGCGCGCGTGCCGGTTTCCACGGCACCTTTAACCCTTCAAATTGTTCGGTGAAATTTTGTAAGGTGCGCAGTGTGTGTGTGTGTGTGCAGGTGCGCAAGCACCTCGTCGACGAAAATTACTCGGTGATTCTGGCCGGCAAAAATATCGGCCGGCGGAGAAACGCCACGTCGGCCGGTCGGTAGCCGATCGGTTCCCACGAGGGAAAGAGAGATGAAAAGAAAGAATAAGGGAGATAAAGAGAGAGAGAGAGGGGAGGGGGCGGCTCGCTTATTATTACGCGAGCGCGGCGAATTGAGGGGAGGCGCGTCAACGACGGCGGGAGCTGTCAATCACGTCGCTCGAAATCGCGAAAATACGGTAACTGCGGCATTGTGACATCGGGATTAATTTCGTCGAGTGAATTACGCACGGAGGAGGAGGAATGCGGGGCTATTGATTAAACCTGCAATTTCGCCAGCGCGCGATCCACTCGCGTTCGGCGAAGGGTTGAAATAATTTTACACACCGCGCGCGCGCGCGCGCGCTCGCCGAGTAACGCGCTGTTAATTAATAATTTATCACTGTCGCGTAATTACGATGACCCGGCGGGAAGGGGGGTACAAGGGGAAACGAGCGGTGAAGTCAGTCATGGGAAGAAGACACCGTGTCGGCGGCCGGCGGCGCGGTGCAGTTTGCTTCCTAGTGAACTTTCCACTCGCCTGAACTCTGCATCTACGCGCACGCCTCGGCTTGCGAGTACTGCCAGGAGGCAACACCGAATGACCGAGTGTTCGAGAAAGCGACTCGCTCCGAGGGCCGCCCGAGGTCCTTCTGTGACCCCTTTAATGGCAACGTCATTAGCCTCGAGTCGCGTTGCGAATATCTCTCCCGACTTGCAAATCAGAGAGACATATTCAACGTCCGATACGCGTCTGCAGTGAGAATCCTCTTCGCTCGCTCGCTCGGCGCGAGGAGGAAAGTGTTTTCGAGTCGAATATCGTTGAGCGCGCGATCGTATCGGCGCCGCGATACGTAATCGCCGAGAAGTGTCGCTTTCGCGGCCGGCGTCATTGTTTCGCGAACAAAGGCGCGCGCGCGCGCGCGCGAATTCACCCAGCGGGACACCCGGTGAATTCGCGCGCACGAGCGTCGCGAATTAACACTCGTGCCACAAAGCGGCGGAACGATTTACAATTGCTTCCGCGGCGAGCGTCGCGTACACGCCGTCGCGCGAGACGCGCGCGGCTCTCATTACCGCGGCGCGGAAACAAAACGTCCCCCCCCCCCCCCCCCCCCGGCAGAAAGGAATTCATTTCTCGCCCAGCCTCGTCCGCTATCGTCTGCTATCGCGCCGTTCTCGCGCGCGCGACGACGCAATCCCGCCCCTCGCGTCTTGGTTCATCGCGGAAGTTCCGATACGCATCTCCCTAAGCCAGTCACCAGGTAATTTTCCTCTCCCGTCTCGTGTTACGCTTTGATCGCCGCGAGTGTCTCGGCCGGCGCGCGCGTGTGCACTGCCAAGTTACTGCGCGCTGGTAGAAAATAGAAATTAAAAAAGCGCGCGAGACGCGCCGCAGCTCTCGCTGGCTCGTCGTTGTTTACTCGGCTCGGTTTTGCAAGAGGGAAGCCTCGAACTTTGTCTCGCGCGATTCTCGCCTTCTTCACACCTCAGAGCGAGAAACTTCGTCTCCGGAGAAAGAAAGAGAGAGAGAGAGAGTCTGCTGTTCTTTTCATATTCAATTAAATTTCTACAAATACACGGACATGTTTGCGATATCCGCTCGGATTTGGCCGAAGTAACTCTGTTTTCCAGCGAAAATCGAAAGAATTGGGGGGGGGAGGGATTTATGATTCAAAATGACCCAGTCGCTGAAACTATGTGTCGATGGAAGGAAGGATAACGCTCTCTCTTGTGAGCGCGCGACTGAAAGAACGGGGGGAGAGAATCGCGCGGACGGCCGTCGAGCGTAGACGATTGCATAGTAATTAAACGAAGCTGAAACTGACCAGGGCGGAATGCGCGTGTCAAACGGCGGGTGTACACTGCAGATCCAAGTGTGTAATTTCACACACTTCGGTGCGGTCATTTTCTACGCATTCGCGACTCACGCGTGTCAGCTGGCGCAATTTAACAAACGCAGAAACGCGCGAAGATTACACACACGGCAGAGCCAAGCGTAGCTTCTGCACGCTCGTATGTGCGTAAAATCCGTAATATCGACGCGCAGGTACAAAATGCGTAAAAAGTGACTACGTGTAGAGAAATGACGCCACTTGGATCCTTGTGCGCGCGACGATGTAACGAGAAGCGGAAGAAGAAAAAGGAGATAGAAAGAGATAGAAAGAGAGAGAGAGAGTGTGAGCGAGAGGAGCGGAAATCGATCTCGTGCATGGCAGAAGCACTCTCGCTCGAGAGGCGGGCAAGGACGTCCAACGAGGAACATCCGATCATGGAAGGACCGCAAGAGCGAGATAGCAGCGAGATCCATCAGAGCCAAGCGCTCACCGCGACGGCGACGAGTCGACTGCGCCGAGGACGAGCGATCGGCACGTCGTCGGAGTCCCCGCGTCCTTGCCAGCTCACCCGCTCCGTCCGTCCGACTTCACACCTCAGGGAGTGGGGTCATCCCTACCAGCGACTCTCGGGCGCTTCTACGTCGCCGCGCCGTTCCCCTCTTCCATCCCACCACTCGCCGCGCTATGTAAGAGCCCGCACATGTTACCCCGCGTTTCAGTCTCGCAGCGGCACTCGCGAGCGTAGTATCGTGCGTCGTTCGGATCGCCTGGGTGAAGGTAGAGAGGAAGGAAGGAAGGAAGGGCGATAAAACGCGCGCTCGCTCTCTCTCTCTCTCCCCCACGAGCGGGACACCCACGTATCACGGGGGGAGCCGCTGTACACACACACACACACACACGTCGCACGCAGAGCAGCGCGCACCACCGCGGGAAACGAGCGACCACGGAGGACACAGTGTGTGTGTGTGTGTCTCTGTGTGTGTGTGTGCCGTACGCGTGCGCGCGAGTTCTTTTTCAGTGCTTCGCACGACGGAGCCCCGCTCTCGACCTCGTCGCGCGACGCCTCTCTCGCGAAGGCCGAACAGTTGATCGGGGGAACGCGAGGGACAGAGATACGGGGAATAGAGGCCGAAGAGGATAGGAGCATCCCGAGCATCATCATCCGTCGTTTCCACCCCGTCCGCCGGCGCAGCACTCCGCGCTTTTCTTTCGTTTTTTTTACTTTTATACGTACGCGCACGTCGTCGTATCAACGCACCCTCCTCCCTCGGCATCGCCGGTGCGCGCGTATCCCGCCGGACCCCGTGGATTAACTCCATCGACGTCCCGCCATCCCGGATTCTCCCTCGTTCCTCTCCCCGTCCGCGAGTGCTCGCGAGAGTGTGAAAAGGAGAAGTTCCGAGGAGACTACCGCGGTGTGGATAAATCGCGACAGGTGCGAGACGTCGGGCCGCTTCGTCGGGAAGATCGCGAGAGATAGAGTGTGAGAGAGAGAGAGAAACGTCCACAGGCGGGCACACGTGAGTATTCCACCTCAGTAACCAGACCTCGGGGTGAACTCGAGGAATTCCCGAGCGATCCTTTCGACAGGCCCACCACCTCCCCGAGGTTCTCGCGTCGAGCGAACTTGAGGCGCGCGCGTGGGCGTGATCGCGAGATCGCCGCGCCGAGTGACACGAGCGCATTTTTCGCCTGCCTGCGCGCTTAAGCACACCGGCGGTTTCCGGGCTCGTTTTTCCGCGAACGACGGGAGTGAACGACGGATACCACCGGCCGAAAGCGCGATTACCGATCGGCCGATCGGGCTGACAGCCGGGGAGGCGCGTTCGTCGCGCGGAACTCCTGGAGAGACGTTGAACATCCGAGGGAAAGAGAGAGAGAGAGAGAGAGAGAAACGTGCCCACCATCGTCGTCATCGTCATTTATTGAACGCCTCGAAAGCGCTTACGACCGAAGCACGGAGAAGCAATGACGGTACGCTGAGAGAAAAAGAAAGGATTCGCTGATAAATAGCGAGAAATAGTTGGGCGTGATTACTCGCCGATCCAAATGTTTTTTGCTCACTGCCGACCGAATAATTTAGTCACCGTGTATACGGTATATACTGTAGTCCCGTGTATCGTGTGTTTGGTACGCGGGACTGAATTATTCGATTGCGGTAATCAAATATTTCCTCGACTCGGATGCTCGGTCGGGTTTTACCACTTATTACCGAAACCTCTTTTCAGTGTGCGTATTTTTCAGTGCGTAAAAGACAGAAATTGTGCAACAGTGTGAAATAGCGAAAAGATGTCAGGACGCAAAGAGACAGCGAGGGGCAAAGAGGGGGGGAGCGAAACGTTTCTGCTTTTTCGCGCGATTTTCCAATCGCCCACATAGGCTGAATTCGCAACGAGGCAGATATATGCGTACGCGATACACGCACCACTCGATACGTCGGACATCTCGCGCGCGCGCGCGCTTATCGTTCGTCAGCAGCGATAAGTCGCTCGCGGTTAAATTACAAATTTATGTAAAATTGCGACCGCGAGCTAATTAATCAAGCGGAAAGCCGCGGGTCGAGTGGCATCGTTTTCTTCGTGCGTGCGTTTTCTTCTCGCGAAACTCCGGGAGTCCCCCGCGTCACGAAATTAGCCATTCCCCCCGCGCAGCACCGAATACGCCTCTCCGTAAGGAATTATCGTTACAATTGGCCGTAGTTGTGCGAGAAAAATCCAATCCACACAGGAGGGAAACGTTTCGAGAAAACTAAAGATCTTTTTCTCTTCGTTTTCTTCTCTTCACGGGTATTCATTGACAAGCTTTAACACATTTAAACAATGAGTAAATACGGAATTAGTAAAAAAGAAAAAAGAAAAATTATACAGCTAGTGGAAAGTAGACCTTTGTTTCGGTTTTTTCATTAATTTCGGCCGCCTCGTGAAGCTTGAGAATCATGCGGAAGTACGCACAGAGACTGCCGATCGGTAACGAAATCTCGAGAATCGCAACTTCGTGGGCTGGATCCTTCTTGCACAACCATGGCGAATTACATCAACGAAAAGGAGTCTCCTCCCGACGAGGCGTCGAAGAATAGTCGCGGAAAAGGAATTTAGGTCACGCGCGCGTGCGCGCACGGCTGCTGCTGCTGCTAATTAATTCGCTCCGCGGATTAATTGATCAACGTCGCGGACGTGACGCGATGTAACGGGTGTAATCGCTCGCGACGAAACAAACGGTCAGGGAAAGACAGAGAGACAGAGAGAGAGAGAAGTGAAGGAGGAGAAAAAAAACGGCGGTCACGCGTGACGCGGCGTAAACGCGGCGGTCTCACGCGCGCGGCACGCCGTGACGTTGTAACGCGCGCGTGCACGCGCGCTCGCGTGTTACGCGCGACGGCAGTGCGCCACGAAGTGTTACGTGCCGCGTTGAAGTTCGTCGTCTCCGGCCTCCTCGTCGTCCTCGCGCAGTGGCGGGCTGACTAGGCGAGCGGACGAGCGTGAACGTCTACGCGCGGGTGACGACGATGCGCGCGCGCTGAACTTGCGTGCCGGTCCGCTCGATTTTTGCCCGTCCCGAGGCTGCAATTACACAGCGCGTAAACAGGTGACGATAGTCACGGCCTTGATACCGTATTGTGCCGTAGCCTCGCGCGAGAAGGACACAGCGCGCTCGCGAGAAAGTCGCCGGCGAATAAACGTTCCCGGCTATGGAGGAGCGGAGGAGGAGCAGGATTTATATCCGTTGATATCTACCGTTACGCCGCTTTATGCGGAATTACGCAACGGAGTTTCTATCAATTTTCTCCACCCGCGCCTCGCCCTCCCGCCGGTTCCGTTCTTGGGCGGAATTGCAGTGATTTCTTTTCCCCTCTTAACGGTAACGTCGGTGGAAAACGCGCCGGTCTGGTTTCCCGAGCGGGAGCGGAGCGGAGAGTAACCGTCCTTCGCGAAAACGAGTCGCGAGCGGACGTCATTCCGACCGGGGTGTGACTGATTTAAACCTGAAAACAACACCCTATCTTGAGATATTACGCGAACGGTAACACTTTTTCCAGTGCACTGCTCACAAGGAGCTCTTTTTTTTTTGCAAAGAGTAACGTTTCTATTTTTCTATTCTTCTATTTCAGGAGGAGGGATAAGTGAAAAATGCACGTAGGCCTTTGTAAGCCTAACATGTTACCGTCAGGATTTAACACATTGTTGACCGGTCACGAGTTAACTCGTGTCTTCCTGCTCAAGCGTTGCTGACCGGCCACGAGTAAACTCGTGATCGATGCTAGATACATTTGCGCGATCGAAACAAGATACATTTGCAAAACCTGTTGTGTACCATTACACGTAGGTGATTGCTATACCGTTTATCATACCAAAAAGAAATATTAAAAGTTAAATATTAAATAAAATTTATTGAAGTTTATTTATATTGTTTCACTTCCACATCCAATTACGAAATAATAGCCGATGACATGAGATAAATTCTAAGTAAAATTGCCGGTCAACAATGTGTCAAAAAAGTACCAGGAACTTTGGTTTAAAATTGATTTTTAAATAAAAATGTTATAATTATTAAAAATCAATTTTTTTAATAATACCTGAAATGCATCCTATTTGACAATTTTTAAAAAATTCGTAAAAATTTATTTTCCAGTAAAAAAAGTTATGGTAATTATTAAAAAACATAATTTTTTTTTCAATAATATCTAAAATGCGTCCTATTTTACAATTTCTGAAAGTTTGAGAAACACAGCTTCATCAATAAAAATGTTATGACGATTTTAGTAACGTGCAAATTTGCCCAAAAACGTGCGGTCCCAGGCGTATGTCTTACAGATTTCTTAGCGTTCCGCAATGTGTTAAGACGTAGGCGCGATATTTAATTTTCACGCATTTTCTACACGTCGTGTTGTGGTTCTTTCAACAAGATAGTCGTATCTTTACGATCGTGTCTGGACGGATCGTAAAGCGTATCGCGGAATTACGTATGCATGCGCGATAAATCTCTGATCGTTCGTTTGTAAAAAAAAAAAAAAAAAACTCGGCCGGAGATCTCGTGCAGACTCGTGAAACCACGCAAAACGCATCGATCAGTTATTTACCGACCGGACACCAATCGTTCCGATTACAACCCGCTCGTATCAGAATATTCTTTTACGTAGATGTGTTCGTAAATATGAACACCGAAGGTATCGAGTAATCGGTGCGTGAGATAACAAGACCCGCAGAGGGGCGGGCGGATGAACGATCTTTTTTATTCGCGAGTAAAAGATCTAGTCGACCTGAGTGCTGATAGCTGAGTCGATAGTAGCTGACAGCAGATTAGATTTTTTAGCTTGTTAATAGTAGTTCATTATTGGTTGATCATTTATCAGAATACAGCATCAGTTTCGTGATTTAATCGTTGCCCAGCTATTGCGTATCAAATATAATAGAGTAAGTGACGTTGTCTATTTTAAAATATACAAACGAAAATTAACAGTAACGTTACATTAATATTGTAATCTCTCACTCACCGATGTAACTGTCACGTGCCCAACATGTGTTATACCACACTTACATTCTTGAGCGGGAAATTACAATATTGATGTAATGTTACTGCTTCGTGATGTTCGTGTTTACTGGGTATAATTTGACGACTATATATCCGCCGCGAGCACTTAAAAGTGAGGTAACGAATCAAAATTGAGGTCACGCTAGTCCATAAAAATCTTGAGGAAGCAGGAGGTGTGCGCTACATTACTGCCTGGCAAGTGTTTGATACTTTGTCTGATAATTGTAATTTCGTTTGTTTAACCGTCAGCTGACTTATTTATCCAGGCATTACCCAGCCGCTAAGCTACAGTGAAAGAAGGATTTGGTAACAAATAGCGGAATTTAGTTGATTTATGCCGATGAGAATATTTGATTACAGCAACCGTATAATTTAGTTCCGTATACCGTATATTTAATGTGCAAAATTAAATTATTTGTCAACAGAAATCAAATATATGCCCGGCATATATTAGTCGAATTTTAATGCCGAAATTTCATGTCAACATCATCGGCTCGCGTCACGAGCTTGTCGGTCGACTTGCTTAATTCTGTCAGAGCGGTATTCGTTCGCGCGGGACGATTGATTTCCTCAAGGTTCCTCCCGGCTGAGGACAACAATCCGCAGCTATTGTCGTGTGACTCACGGTTCGCGCGCGCGCGCGCGTGGGTACGTGCATTCGTCGTTCGCACAAACGCGCCGATTCCACGGTATATTACGTTAAAGGTCGCGAGATCTCGAAAAGCCGGTTCTCGCCGTCCAGACGGCATAACAGCGACTACTGTGCCACTCGAAACACGTGTCCGCGCACGCCGCTGTCATGCGTCCTTTTAGAAAATCCGGCCGCGCTGCGCGTTACATGTTTTCGAGGAAATCACGCCTGCTCGCCCCATTATCGCGCTATTTATTGACGTCCGCGGAATTGATCCAACGTATTATTGTTATCGCTTCGCGATTAATACGACCATACCACGCGACACGAGGATAAAGAGCGAAAGAGCTCGTGTTTTGA